TTTTTTTTTTGGTGTTAATGTCCTCCATATAAAAGAAAATTGTCGAACATAATTTGTATGGAAAAAGGTGAAACACCTTCAACCAAAAAATTCTCAAAAATCAACGGCATTTTTTAGCAACTTGAAACTTGCACTTTATTATACTAGAATTAAATGGGCTACAACTACAAACTGCATACCACAATTTTTTCCTAAAGATTCTGATTAAAAAGTTTGAAATTTAGGTGAAAATTGGCGAAATTTTTATAATTTTTGCACAAAGTTTGAAAACTGAATTTATATGGGGTTTGTTATACGGCCAGCTAGACTTTTATAAGAAAAAAAACGTTTAAATTTGCTTGTTGCTGACTATTTGCCCAATAAAAAATATTGATATATCGCTCTGAATGAAGAAAATCTATAAAGATGTAAAAGCACAGTCTACGAATAGAGAATTATAAACTTTTATAACAAAAAAAATGTTCTTACCAGTTACAGTTTTGTGTTATTCGGGTATTTTCCGAGAGCTTTTAAAGGCTATTAATATGATGTGAAGTTCTTGAATTAAAATTTCTTTGACGTCGGTAATTTCAGGCGACACGATCGCAGCCTTAACAAAATTTCTTGTTTCCATTTTTTCCATCGTGGTATGACCCGAAACATAAAGAATCAAAATTTTTGCAAGGTACAAAATCGCAAGTAATAAATCATACCTGGCTATGGAACGTCGGCAATTAATTCTTACCTATAAATTTGGGAATTCAACCTGTATAGTTTTTTCCCTGGGCGATTCATAATTTCTCTTCAGTTGACTTTCTCTTGCTTTTCTTTCTTAATTCTTCCGGTAAATGAAGTCTGCGTATTAATTTGCTACGAAAAAACCAACTTAATGTGATTGTAAAGTTAAAAATTAAAAACTATTTCGTAATTTTTTTCTTATTGAGAATTTATATCCAAAAGTAGTTAGTTAAAAGTTAGTTGACACCTAATGCGGGGATATGCAGTTCTGACTTTTTTTCGAACAAAATATACAGTAAATAGTCAGCACTAGTATTCGCGTAATCCGATTAATGTTAGATTTAAGTTAATATCACTCCCTGCAGGGTATAGCTACAGCTGCAGTCCTTTTCGTAAGCAATTCTTATCGGACGACAATAATTGCGAATATCGGCCTATAAGAATTTTAATGAGAATTTGATTATATTCGTTTTCTTCTTCCAAAAAATTTACCGTGTTGTATAACAGTTCGGATTTGGCCATATAATGGACCCATTATTTTCCAGTGTTTGTACAGGAACCAAAGTAGTAGGAGTTCGATACTCGTCGGCCACGCAAACAGATATCATAGATATTACGGAAAATTTCCACCTCTAAAGCCCCTAATATCTTCTTATCTTTGTTCGACATCGTACAGATTTCTGCCCAGATAATAGGACGTGAATTATGCGAGATTTAGAGAGTGTGATTTTTTTTCTTCTACGGAAAGTTTAGTGTCGAGTTTTACCTTTAATAATGCTCTTTTATAGTCACGTTTGGAAAACCTACAACTGACGTTGTCCGTCCAACCAATATTAACCAGGCATCCTATCAAGTATCGGTGCGCCTAAAGGTCTACGAACAACTGGGAGGTTATGGCTATGGGCACATCTGTGGTGGAGCTGTCATATCGGAAACGCTTGTAGTCACTGCCGCGCAGTGCACGCTAAAGTAAGTAAATCCATGGACTACTACTAATTTTACTAATTTAATTATTGTTATCTTTCCTTTTCCTCTAGCACCGCTGTATTGCCGCTTGCATACCGCAATCCCGATGACTTTACATTGGTAATGGGCTCAAGCTTTCTGCAGGAGAAAAACGCGTACGTCTTGCAGTATGATGTGGAGGCAGTGTTGCCATTTCCCGCATTCAATTCGACGTCGCTTGAGAATGATATAGCGCTATTGCTCATCAAGGGTTACATACCCTGGGAATGGCCTACTGTGCGACCGATTTCTCTGCGAACCACTGCAGTCGAGCCCAACACAACGTGCCGCATTGGCGGTTGGGGAAAGTTGTCGCGGGCAAGTATTGCTCATTCAATGTTATATACTTATATGTACCTACATACTATCTATGGCTTGAGTAAAGTGTTTTTTTCTTCACATTCACAGCAACAAAGAGATATGTCCGATGTTTTGCTGAGTGCTCCCATACCCACTATCAGCTATGCGAATTGTTCGAAAAATTATGGTTTTATACCTGAAGGAATGCTTTGCGCTGGCTATGCGCAGGGTGGCGTAGATGCTTGTGAAGGCAATGCTGGTGGTCCGCTGGAATGTTCGGGTCAGCTGGCGGGCATTGTTTCGTGGGGCATTGGTTGTGGATATGCCGGCTATCCAGGTGTATATACAAACGTCTCCTACTACAGTCAATGGATTCAGAATGTTAATACGTCCAAGTAATGACAAAAGTGACAAAAGTATTGCGATTAGTTCTTTAAAAACTTCAAAACATACATGGCTTTGGACTGTGTTTGCAAGTTTAATGGTGTTATAATTAAAAAAAAATTATACAGAATATACAAAAAAAAAATGGAATCTTAATAAGCTTAGTAATATTTGGGAAGTCTGCTATTAGAACGATTTAAGTACCATAGCTTTAATAAACATTACTTATTCCATAAACCAAATTTGGAAGTAAAAAGACTGAATAAACATTTTAAAATATCCAAATTCCAACTAAAAGTTTTGTTATCGCAGAATTATTATTGCTAGACTGCGGATATTTATGCAGAAAACGAAGCCTAAAAATATGTACGCCATAACTATAAGCAAGGTGTATACAAATTTATATATTCGGGACCCAGTTGGATTCTTCTTGGACCCGGGTCATGCGACCAAAATCATTGCAACTAGATTACATTCAGTTATTATGTATTTTAGAGGAGGAAGCGGGCTAACAGCAGTGATCTATTGTTACAAAACCTATATTTGGTAGTATGCCGGTCTTCTAAAATCCACAATTGTACCGAGAAACCCATTGGCGAAGTGCCATATACGACCAAGTTTGGTGACCCTAGCAACACAGGTTTTCTTCATCCAGGCATAACAATTTGACCAGACGGAGCTCACAGTGGTCTGCTACCCAAATGAGAGAAGCTAGGTTTCTGGAAGCTTTGAGGCCAGAGTGTAGATCTATGGATTTATATGAACGCGCGGTAAGTACAATCCCTATTTGCATACCATGTATTGCTATCCTTATGAACTTCAAGTCGCTCATTGTCCCAGTTTTTCTTTTTGCTAGGGAAAAATGTATGAAGTTAAACTTCGAAGACGCATGCCCATGAAGCTAATGTTCTATATTCCTAAGAGCCCACCCATAACTATTTATCCTCCGTCTAATTATCCCCTAATGAAAGATGGAATGAGCTTGAACTTGTGTGGGTATCGGGACACTGTGGTATTGAAGACCGAAGAACGATCTGGCTGATGGATTGGTGAACTGCGGTTCTTTAAAGCGTCCAATTGCACCGAAGCCAATTTTTGCGCCAAGCATAGTGGAAACAGTCGGGTAGGTTAGGTTAGGTTTTTGATGTTGCCACGTGGAGTTCGAGTTTCGGCGTTAAAGTAGACATCACAAAGTCAGTCTCATCTGCTATTTAATTACCCTCTATTCCTTTGTGGCCGGGTACCCAATAGATATGCAGACTATCCTCCCGGCTGCGAAGGACGTTTTAAGCTCCGAGTCCTAAGAGGACTGATTAAGACGCATAATCCATGACCTGTGATAACCATAGCATCATCGACGATCCACTGTGTACATCTTGTTTGAAAGATGAGGGTAGCACAAAAGAGTTTACCTCACGCTGTCGGGCCTTCGCTAGACTTAGATGATACATTTTTGGGTCGGATATATTGAGAATCGGCCCGGTTTTTTTTTTGTTTCCCTCGATAAACTGCTAAGATTCATAAAGGAGTCTGTCAAGTTTGTATAGGAGCAATGAATTCCCATCCCACCTGTTTTCCTCTATCCTTTAAATCCTCTATCTAGGCCTTAAGTACCGTATTTTTGGCTTTTCCCGCCATCCACAAATGCATTCCATTCGCCTGATATGATTCTGAATATAAACAGTAGAGCAGTTCTTACGATTACAAAGTGCCAAAAAAGTAAGTCCAGAAGCACCGCGGTGGCCTTTGGACGCAGTGTAAATTCATACATACCTTAACAAGGATGGGATGGGGTTCCGATTAGTACTGCTTATCCGAAATTCACCAGAACGAGGTACTTTCCTTCTAGCTGTCAGTGGAGAAGTTGTTTACCGAACCTTTCCGAAGAGTTCCAGAACTTTTCCACTAATATTTTAAAGCCTAAAAAAACTTTATATTTCTTTCAAAAGATTCCGTAGAAACGAGTGTGCCCTCTTAAGCCAGGAAAGGCTGACACTTTTCGAACACCTGTTTTAATAACTTCTTATGCCCAAAAATCTGAGAATCATGCCGCAGTCCACAGACAGTTGCACTGTACATCGTATTCATGGGCTCGGCTTGAATTTTTGAACCCAAAAGTGTTATCTCTTATTGTGCTTATTACCATGACTGATTTCAGTTCACAGACTTTACTTTCAGCTCTATATCCACCAGTCACACCAGTCTCTTATCCACTATTACTTCCAGATATTCTAGATACCCGTAAAGACTGTGTTTAATGGCACGATTGAAGAATAGACAAGGCGATCCAATCATTTAAAAGTTCAACTTTTCTTGCATTTTGCATATTCCAGGAAATTCCATGCATTGACTTTGGACAAAAGACGGACTATACAAAGGCTTAGACGATCTTTGTGCTCAAACCCTACACGGAGTTCAGGTGTGCAACTATAAGTTCCAAAGCTTTCGCCCCACGGCCGGCAATGGCGAATTTCCGAGTGTACTCCTGCATATAAAAGAAAGAAGTATACCGAAATCCATACTGAGGGCAGCTTATTGTAGCAGAGAAGAAGAGGGTAAAATGGAAAGATGAAAGCGAAAAAGTTGGTGAAGGAATATATATGTAGATGATGTATTTTGGAATGATTTTCCGTCATCCTTTGTTTTTAATAATGTTTCGTAGACAAGCTGATAGCCACTTTGTAGGACATCGTTTTGCGACTATGAAGCAAAAACCAGTCCTAGACCGTAAAGAACTACTAGTGAACTAGTCTTTATCAAGTTCGATTTATTGCAGGGTATAAATATGTTCATATAACGCCTGAAAGTATACTACCATCAGTGACATACATATGTACATGTGTATCAAGCAGAGAACTTCGTTATATTGGAAAATCTCATTGATCACGCGTACTAATTTCAAGCAAAAGGTGCGCGTTAAAATAAAAATAATAAAGAATAAAATTACTTGCTATGTATTATTAAAATAGTTACTATTTTAAAGTAATTTTTTTATCTTGGACATATTTTTTTTAATCATTTGCATGTAGCTGAATGTGTGTGTGTGTGTGTTGTGCGAAACACAGCAGCTTGGTCAATAATTTGATTTGAATTTTTATCTAATCATTAACTACTCTTTTTGTTTTTGTCTCTGATAAACGACTGAAATTGGCCTGGGAAAGTAGATACAACCACAAAAAAAAAATGAAATGTATCACTGGCGGATTCGCGGTGGGTTCTCGGGTTCAAAGCCCTTTTCCCTTGCATTCGGAACCTGAAAATCCGAAAATAATAGGGTTGAGTGTTTTTATAAAGACATTATTTGAGTCGCTACATATAAGAATTTCGCGAAGAAAAACCATGGAAACTTAAGCCACATTCAAAATAAAGAAGTCCTTATGTTGGACTTAAGCACTTTTGAAAAATACCATATGGACTTAATTAGTTTTGAATAAAAATTTCCCAAATTTTTTTATGGTGAACTTAGGCTGGTTTGATATGTATCAAGGTACATTGAACAGGTAGTATCAGTAGAGCAGAAGATTTGATTTATTTTCAAATTATTTGGTCTCGAAAATGTCAAATATTTTTAATTTTTTCTCACAAAAATTCTGAATTGTTAAAATCCATTTGCTTGTGAAACCTTTTTCCATACAAAACAAGCGATTGAATAGCAGCTTTTGGAACGTTCGCCCAACTCGGCAGCACGACCGCTGATTACTGGGCCTTGCAAAGGATGGATCAATGCTTCGAGAAGCAAACAAATTTACTAGGAAAGAAAGTTGCATCAATTTTTATTTTTTCCAATTTCAATTTTTTATTTTTTATAATTTTTTGTATTTCACATGGCACGCTTTGATTTAGAAGAAAAAATTCAGAACAGTTTTTGACACATTCGATACCAGAAGCAACAACAAAATACACGCAAATGTTGTTTTTGCTCTACTGATACTACCTGTTTAATGTGCCTTGATATGTATCGACTTATATGTCACAATCTGCAGTAGCAGAGCACAGTATGATTGGCTGGAATAGACTTAAGCAATTTTGATTTACAATTACGGTAGGACTTAGTCTCCTTTGAATAAAACGTTAGTGTGTATTCCTCTAAGAATTTGTAAAAAATTCGTCAGTGGACTTAGACAGTTTTGATACTTACCGACTCATTTGTATCCCGCTAGCTCGGATAGCTCCAAAGTTTCTCTTGTAACCGTCTAACCGATTTTGGCAATGCCAACAAAGCACGACAGTCGTTTCTCCACCTGCTCTTTGCATACCAGAGGTGAGGATCAGGGACCGAACATAACTGTTATTGATGAAAACTGTCATTGAAAGATTCACTATGAAGGATATGTTCTACAACTAAGTGATACATACCAATCGATTCCTTTTTTCATCGAGAATTAAATTGGAAAATTTACATTTTTACATTGTTATACAAAATTAAAAAAAATAACAATTATTTTTGATTTTTATTTTATAAATCCATCACATTTTGGATCTTTATCTAAATAATCTGCAAGTAACAGTTATGTTTGATTTTTATATTATATGTCTAAGTTAACAGTTACCTATAAGTCATCAATAAAAATCAGTCAGTGACTTTTAATTTTTATGACTTTTACAATTCCCTCTCTATGCCAAACAGGTCTGTTCTTTTTATCAACTGCACCATGACTTTTTTCAACCTGGCTCCACATATTCGAAACACTCTACTATGGTCTGGGAACTGCTATTTGTTGGCCAAAAGTCATTTTTTGAAGTATCGATAAATCGATAAACTTACATATTTTTTTCTTTAGTAGTCAGAGTTCTTGTAGTTCGAATTGAAATATTTCTTCGAGTAATAAAGTTATCAAAAGAAAAGGAAGGGAAATGAATAACAAAGTTAATATTTGTGTGATTAACAAAAAAAATCTTTAGCAAAGCTTGCTACGTAAAAATTAAACTCCTTTTCAAAATGAACAATAATTTGTGTAATAATATTTATCTCACTTTAAGCGGAGCTATAAAAAATTGGCTTCATTTGGCGGTCTTCAAACATCGTGGACATTGAAACGGTTCAATTTAGAGTTTGTGGGCGAATATTTTTTAATTCAAAATACGAAATGGCTTCAAACAAAAACAATAATAAGAAAATCTGATTCCATCAACATCGAAAATGGGCCGCAAACCTCTTGCTTATATTCAAAAATAGGACCGGTCCCAAAGAAGACAAGCTGCTATAACTTCAACCGCTTAGACTTGGTAAAAAAAAAAATCGTCGTAAAATGCTCAAAAAAATATTACAAATAAAATGTTAATATGCCACAATAACATTGACAAATAGATGCTGCGGAGTTAGCAGAAAATCAGGAAAATAATGTAGACTTAATGCTTCGTGCTACTTCCACAGCTACTACTAAAAGAGGCCAAGTGAGTTTAGCTGTTACTTTGAGAACAGTTTGTAAAGATCCCATGAATGCACATAAGCTAAGAAAAGTCCTTAAAAATGGATCCAATGAAAAATTCGCCAATTTTTTGGTGAAAAGGAAAACAAGATAAAATTTGTTTCCCATATTGGATCCGCCATTTTGAATTTAAAAAATTGAANGCTGCTATAACTTCAACCGCTTAGACTTGGTAAAAAAAAAAATCGTCGTACAATGCTCAAAATTTTTTTTTTTAAAAGTTTTTGGTGAAAAGGAAAAAAATGATAAAATTTGGTAGCCATATTGGTTCCACCATTTTGAATCTCAAAAATCCTACATCGGAATCGAAATCAGCGATCTCGAAAACCCCGTTCATATATTAGCTTTTGGTGAAAAGGAAAAAATTATAAAATTCGGTCGCCATATTGGATCCGCCATTTTGAATTTAAAAAATCTGACATCATATTCGACATCAGCGACCTCAAAAACTCACGAATACGAAGTTTCAAATCAATTTGGTTACTTCTCGACTTTTGGCCAGCAAATGATAGTCAGCGGCGGTGCGCACAGATCAGATGACGTCTTAAACATCCCGAGACAGCTTCTCTATTAAGGATCCTGAAATTCAAAGTGTATGCTCGCTTGGTTTCATCTAAACTACTTTCTTTGGTTTCGTTGGAATTTCGTGTTACGTTGCGGGTCCTAAACTCAGCGAACAACCGGATTTTGAGATGTACCTATGTTTATATGCACATGTAATTAGCGAACCGCAAAAGAAAGGTGCCGCCACAATGGGCTGTGTAAAACCACTCTTATATTACAGCTACCATGGCATGATTAATTAGAAGCCCCCTCTTCGAGAAATGAACGACTATGTTAGTGCGAACTTCCGTACGCTTATTGCATTTTATATATTCCTATCTCAGTAGCGATATCAATAGTAGCACTTGAATTGCTGTTGAATTGACGCGTTGCTTATTGACTAATACTCCTACCTATATACAGTTTTATTGGCCTAATAAAAAAATTCGTTGGAAATTAGTTGGAGTTTAGACTAAAGCATGGATTTTCAAGGACTTTTCTGGTTTCTATTTTATTGCTGTGTGTCATTTCATGTGGCGCAAAATACAAGTAAGCATATTTACGGTCAGAAAGCGAAATTTTTCTAAGATAATTATTATATTAAAAAAAAAAAACTATAATTTTTTCATGCCATCTAAGTGCTTGGCCACTTGAGTAATCCACTTGATAATCAACACAAGAATGCGCCGAAAATAATCAATGGCACTGAGGCGAAATGGGAAGGGACGCGACATCAGGTGTCGGTACGTTTGGCCGCAAGTGATTGGTTCTTTGGCGCTGGTCACATATGCGGCGGTTCACTTATCGCACCCAGAACCGTACTCACGGCCGGTCATTGCATATGGAGGTGAGTTTAAAAGAAGAAGACCAAGAAGAAGAAGAAGGCGAATTATTAAACTCTAACATCCTTTATCTGNATCAATGGCACTGAGGCGAAATGGGAAGGGACGCGACATCAGGTGTCGGTGCGTTTGGCCGCAAGTGATTGGTTCTTTGGCGCTGGTCACATATGCGGCGGTTCACTTATCTCACCCAGAACCGTACTCACGGCCGGTCATTGCATATGGAGGTGAGTTTAACAGAAGACGACGAAGAAGAAGAAGGCGAATTATTGGATTTTCCTCCCAGACATGCAGCCCATGAATTCAATCAAATTTCTAAACTCAAACATCCTTTATCTAATTTTAGTGCCGGCGCAAAACGTTTTCGCAATGCCAGCGCTTACACTGTGGTAATGGGAAATTTGAATCGTTATCAGCGTGATGCAAATACTTTGATTTTTGGTGTGGCTAAGATTTCTGTGCACCGCAACTTCAATGCGACCACATACGAAGCTGACGTGGCACTGTTGCATTTGAACGCTAGCGTAACGACAGATTTCAAACGCGCCTACTCAATACCACTAAACGATGAGCGAAATATGACTGCTGGCAGCATCTGTCAAGTGTCCGGTTGGGGTAGAACCGAAGATGTGGGAAAAGAATTGAATGAAATTGTGTATCGAATAATTATTAATTACCTCAACTCTTTCTAGGGTGGTTTTGCACCGCAATTGATGGTGGTTGATGTGGCCATTGTGAATAGAAGTCAGTGCGCTATTAATTACGGCGAATTCATAGGCGACGGCATGATTTGTGCAGGTTACATGGCTGGCGGACGCGATGCTTGTGTTGGCGATTCTGGCGGCCCATTGGCATGCGATGGCAAGCTGGTGGGTGTGGTGTCGTTTGGTGTGGGCTGTGCGCAACCCGGCTATCCTGGCGTGTATGCTGATGTGGCCAGCTACGCAGAGTGGATACACAATGAAACGAAGTTAGTGGATGATGTCGAAGGCCACGGTGATGATGGTGTCTACGGTGATGCTGGTTTGGGTGATGATGGCAATGCTGGTTCTTTGCCGATTAGCTACGGTGGTGTCGTTGGGAGTAATGCTGCTGGCGCGCGGTGCATTGTAAACTTGACATTTGCTCTTTGGCTCCTATTCGTTTGGGCTTGAAAATGAGTTTTGTGTATTGAAGCTACTTAAATTAAAAAGTAAATAAATAGTAAGTTAAAAATTGCAGTTTTAAGTCGTGGATCGTTGCAAAAACTCGAAAACGGCTTGACCGATTTGAATAATTCTTAATTTTAATTTGTTTGTTATAAATTTTGGATGGTACAAAAAATAGAGAGTTATTATAATTTTGGTATCAAGCTGTTTAAGGTTTAAGAAAGCCTAGTTTGGATATTTTTGAAGAGGGTTGCCACATGTTTTAAAAATTTAAATCAATTCAATTGATAAGGTAAATGAAATTTTGCAATATGGGCGTCAAAGTAAAGTGGGAGTTTGGAAAACAGGATTTCCACCTATTTGAAAAATTTAGTTCAATTAAATTGATAAACTAAATAACATATTCTTTAAATAGGGGTATCAAAACTTAGAGCTTAAGAAACCTTAGTTTTGTAAATATTTTGGAAGAGGCCTGCCACCTGTTTAAAGAATTAAATTCAACTAAATTGATAAGCTAAATTAAATGTTGCAATACGAGTATCAAAATAACGTCGGTAATACTGAAAAACGGTCTATGTCTATTAGTACCCTTGACACTTAGATGGTCTCTTTGTTACACCCTAATAAACGAATGACAAGACTGTCTACCTTTGCCTGATGAAGATGAACGATTGCCAGAAGCGACAAGATACAGATAACAGATCAATTAAACACCATAGCTAATAAGTGACTTAGACCGTTTTAGAGTATCACCGACGATAAAGTGGTTAAAGAAAGCTTAGCGTGAAAACTATTTTTAAAAGGGTTGCCACCTGCAATATTGCAATATGGGCGTGACCGATCTTAAAAGTTAAGACTAAAAGTCTAAAATTTGTTACCATATGCGTGAAAACGCTCAGCCAAGACGAACGCCTCCATTTCTGCCCCCACATCCTCTTCCCGCACGTACAGAGCCGCCTGGGTATGCTTGTGTTTAAGTAAGAGCTAGCTCGACGGACTATGGGGTGGTTCTTGCGACTCACTCATTCCGTACCCACCTGCACAATCGTCAGAGGCCATCACGCTCCCGCCTAGTCATTCCCCTCTCCCCACTTAACAGTCCAATATTTCCTCTTATATGTATATGAGGTATCCAGCGTGAAAGGGGCGAAAAGGAGACCTTCCTTATCCAACTCTTCTTTACCGACCCCGAAGCTAATCCGTGACTCACCGACTTACGGCCAGTTTCCCATTCATTGACCTCAAGTACCCCGTTCTAGTATACACCCACCAAACCTCAGTTTTTATCACCCTAATTCCAGTATAGTAGTGTCGAAGTTTGTTGATTATTTTAGTAGAACAATTAAATTTTTTTTTATTGTCAAACGCATGTGTCACCGAAAAATCTATAATGTTGATTTCTAGGTTTGGCAAAAATGTTTTTATTCGAAATCATCTTGCAAAAATACCTTAGACTCAGGGTGTATGGCGAACTTTTTTGTTTGTTTGTAAGGTGGTACGGTCTAATGTTCATAAGATCCAACATCGCTCAGGCGTAAAACTATTTATGTAGTTCTTCCCAAGGGAGTGATGCGTAATGACCAGTCCAAATCACGAGCGGGGAAGGATAATAGGGGTATTCTCGCAAACCGGTAAACCGTGCAATCGGTGCACCGTGCAAAGGCTATGCAAGACTGCGAGAATACCCCTAATGTCAAACAACATTTATTTAGATAGAAACATCAATGTGGAATACCCTTTTCGTACATACACACATGCATACATATGCACTATTTATGTTTACAAATGTGTTGCATATTTAATGTGTATGTAAATGATTAGTGATAAAGCTTTGTTGTTGACAGTTATATAAGTTGTCATTTGAATTTGTAAACAAATTGACACGGCAATAAAGATGAAATCAGATAATGATGACAATTAGTAGTAAATAAATTATCTAGTATGTATGCATGTTCATATGTATGTATGTATATGTATACAGAATTTTTGCTATCAACACACTCCTTGCTTTAATGTTTAACCGACATTCTCTATCAAATTGTCTTGAAGTTTGGCTATTATATTTTAATTGCTTGCAGATTTTCGCGAATCATAAAATATACACTATACATACATATGTAGGAATGTTTTTTAATTCTACCATTTTTTACTTTAACGAGTAGGTACATTTTCGTTTTCTGAAATTAAGTATTTGGGGCATTTCGCGTCAAGCGGGCAGGGAAAAATTGTAGCTGTGTGAAATATGAAACTGTGTGCATATTTTTTTCTTTGTATGACGGTTACTTTTCGAGTTATGGGCTTCCAAGGAATACTAAAAATTAAAATTAGGGTTTTTCTAAAGCATTTTTTCGTATGGAAAAAAAAAATTAAAAAAAAGAAACTTCGCGATTTGGTGAGAAAATTTCTTGCTTCTTAAAATGAGATCACTTTTTCCAAATTTATTTATTTTTTTGTTATACCACACCGGAAGTGAAAGTTTAATTACAAAATTTGAGAAACTTCGACCAATTTTTTTTTGTTTCTCGCAGTTTGTTAAAGCTACAAAGTATGAAGGATTTCTAAAGCATCACCCTTCTNGTTACTTTTCGAGTTATGGGCTTCCAAGGAATACTAAAAATTAAAATTAGGGTTTTTCTAAAGCATTTTTTCGTATGGAAAAAAAAAATTAAAAAAAAGAAACTTCGCGATTTGGTGAGAAAATTTCTTGCTTCTTAAAATGAGATCACTTTTTCCAAATTTATTTATTTTTTTGTTATACCACACCGGAAGTGAAAGTTTAA